ACATAGCCCAGATGGGTTGCCCTTCTGAATGGACACCTGAGCGAAATTCTCCTGGTTTCAGTTTGACCCACAATGTTGAGACCATATTAATCAACCCCAGTTTGTTCATAGGGGGGTGTCCCTGGGTTTAGTGGGGAATCATCACTTTTGGAGGGCCCCCATCCCCTGATTAATCAACTGGGGTTGATAAAAACAGAAAACAACATGGGGTGAACAGTATGGGTCCAGATGGACCCATGTGGACCGCATAATTTTTAATTCGTCCAGGTGTTTCCCTTTGCAAAAACGGGCAACCCGTTTTGAGGTTCAGGAAACACCCTTTCCGTGGAGCCCCAGTGCCTCCGCGAAGGCCGCGGCGAGCGCGACAAGCTCCAGCAGGATCCCAAGAAAGCGCTGCCGGCAGCTCTGGAGCTCAAGGACCAGGGTCATGCTCCAGAAGAGGATCTCAGCGCGGGCTGCGGAGTGGGTGGGGGGGAGTGGGGAGTGGGGAGTGGGGTGTGGGGAGTGGGGAGTGGGGAGTGGGGAGTGGGGAGTGGGGAGTGGGGAGTGGGGAGTGGGGAGTGGGGAGTGGGGAGTGGGGAGTGGGGAGTGGGGAGTGGGGAGTGGGGAGTGGGGAGTGGGGAGTGGGGAGAGTATGTTTGTATTCTGGTGGGGCGATGTTTGAAGGCCGAGCGCTCATAGATGTGTTGAACTTTTATGGGGCAGAAGAGTATGCAGGAGCAGAGGGTTCTGTTCGTGTTTTTGGTCCTTCGGGCTAGAACCCGTAAACTTAACGGCTGGAGGGAGACATGCCATGAGAAAAGGGCTCCCGGATGTTTTTGTTCGACACAATCTTGTTTCGTGTTGGAGTCCATGTTTCTCAGCTATTGCATCATACTACAACATGACAAATCCAGCGGACCGGAAGGAGTTGCAACGAAGAAAATTAGACATGGGCAATGTGCAGCATTCTTTGGACGCAACCACAACCCGATCTTGTCACAGGCTATAGCCAGCTAAGTCGATTCAAGCATATGCAAATATCTAACATTGCTCTTGACATCCTGGTTCGTTTGCCACTTGCACAACTTTTGCCCCGCCCAAATCGTGAACTAGTGATGTTCAGGTACGACCTGCATAGGAACAACACGCCAACGCCACACAATTTCACATTTTGGATTGTTGAAGCAGCTTTGTTGCCACCCAATAGCAAGCACAAAAGACGAATACGCGCCAGCTGGCACATGCAAAAGGCTACCAAACCAAAGGTGTTGGAATCGGCATGTGATTTTCAGAAACGGGTTCTATGTCCACCCAGATCTACTTGCTGGCGCTCCTTAGGGAATGTGGGAATAAATCAGGGATTACCGTTTATTGAAGGAGACCATAGAAATGGTTTTTCTTGGGATCAGTCCCTCATTCCCTACTGAGCACCAGCAAGCCTTTTTGGGATACCCATTTCAAGCCATGAGGTCGACCCGTTTCCTGCCCCACTTTCAGCTGAGGCACCAAGGTTTGGCCAGATGATACCCACCGCTGGCACAAAACAAAACCGCGGATTGAAGACGCTCCACAATCAGGACATACAGAACAATGCGAAATTACACCATCTGCTTATTTCCAATACGTCCTCCAATACTAGAGGATCACCAGCAGATCGCAGAAACAGCCCATTTTGTAGCAGAGACCCCAAACAGTTGAGGACTGACAGGCAAGCACAAACATGCCAACAGCTTGTGGCTTTCTGCGCTTCAGCACGGATGAATCAAAATGATGCAGTCGCGAACCTGGCACGCCCTGCGTTGCCGCACGTGTGTTGCTGGCGTGCTTCGCGCTTCAGCACCGCGCGAGAACTGAGATTGGGCAAGCGCGTGCGATGGCGGGCGAGCGCGCGCGTGAACGCAAGTGTGGCTGCACAAGCGCGCGGTCACATGGGCAGTTCAGACACACATGTCCAATTCAGACACATGTGTGTACACGTGGAACACACATACGACTGAAACAGTACACGCGGCACGCGCAGATGTGCACTCGTGAACACACACAATATATATACATTCACCTGCGGCACACGCATAAATGTGTTGAGCTGGAAAACAAACATGTGCTTCTTGGAAAGCTCACACACACATGTGCACACCTGGAACACACATGTGTGTTCGCCTACGACACGCTAATGTGTTCACGTGGAACACACATGTGTGTTCACTTGGAACACAGTAAAACGCGTGTCCAATTAAGACACACATGTGTTCACCTGGAACACAAACACGTGCAACTAAAGAACACATGTGCGTACACTTGGGACACACATATGTATACCACTGGAACACAAATATGTGTCCACCTGGAACACCGCGTGTGCGATTAAAGCACAAATGTGTGTACATGTGGAACTCATATGTGCACACGCGAGCAAACATAAATGCTCACCTAAAGCGCACACACAAATGTGCGCACCTCGAAAACAATCATGCGTTTCTGGAGCACATACATGTGTACACCTGGAGAGCAAATAACCTAGCACATGCTAATTTGTTCACGTGGAACACACATCTGTTCACCTGGAACACAAACACGTGTCCAATTGAAACACACATGTGCGCACACGTGGAACACAGATGTGTGTACACGTGAGTGTGCACACGTAAACACTCGCATATGTGTGCACCCGGAACACACACCCGTGTGCTCACCTGATAACAGCCATGTGTTCTCCTGGAACGCAAACACGTGTCCAATTGGAACACACGAGAGGATCCTAGGGAGGAAAAGGGAGAAGATCTTGGGGGGAAAGGGGGAAAGGATCTCAACCAAGGGAAAAGATCTTGGGGAGGACAAGGGAGAAGATCTCAGGGGGGGAAAGGCCTTAGGGGGGAAAGAGGGGAAAGGACCTCAACAGGGAAAGGGGGCAAAGGATCTTAGGGAGGAAAAGGGAGAAGATCTTGGGGGGGAAAACGCCTTAGGGGGGAAAGGGCGACAAGGAAAGGGGGGACAAGATCTTAGGAAGGAAAAGGGGGAAGATAGCGGGTGGAAAAAAGGCCTTAGGGGGGAAAGGAGGGAAAGGATCTCAACAGGGAGAGGGGGGAAAACATCGTAGGGAGGAAAAGGGAAAAACTCAGAGGGAGCAAGGGCCTTAGGGGGGAAAGGGGGAATGGATTTCAACAGGGAAAGGTGGCAAAAGATCTTAGGGAGGAAAAGGGAGAAGATCTCAGGGGGGGAAAGGCCTCAGGGGGGAAAGGGTGGGAAGGATCTCAACAGGGAAAGGGGGGAAACAATCTTAGGAAGGAAAAGGGAGAAGATCTGGAAAGGCCTTAAAGGGAAGGGGGGAAAGGATCTCAACAGGGAAAGGGGGCAAAGGATCTTAAGGAGGAATAGGGAGAAGATCTCAGCGGGGGGAGAGGAAAGGAAAAAGATCCCAGGGAGGAAAAGGCCGTAGGGGGAAAAGTGGGGGAAAGGGAGGAAAAGGGAGAAGATCTCAGGGGGGAAAAGGCCTTAGGGGGGAAAGGGGGGAAAGGATCTCAACAGGGAGAGGGGGGAAAACATCTTAGGGAGGAAAAGGGGAAAATCAGAGGGAGAAAAGGCCTTAGGGCGGAAAGGGGGAATGGATCTCAACAAAGAAAGGGGGGCAAAAATCTCAGAGGGGAAGGGGGCAAGGGGACAATTCCAAAAGGGACGCAAATAAGAAAGCAGGCCTGTAATGTCGGCGGCCTGAGCCGGAGGCGTTAAAATATATATGTGCACCCGGAACACACACACGAGCGTTCATCTGAAAACAAACATGTAATTATTCACCTGAAACACAAACCGTGTCCAATTGGAACACACATGTGTGCACACGTGAACACACAAATGTGTACACGTAGAACACAAATATGTGTACACGTGCACACACATACATGTCCACGCGGAGCAGACACACACACACACACGTGTTCATCTGATAACAAGCATGTGTTCTCCCGGAACACATACACGTGTCTGATAAGAACACACATGTGTGTATTTACACGTGAACACACATATGTGTACACGTGCAACACGCATATGTGTACACATGAACACACATATGTGTACGTGGAACACACATATGTGTACACACGATGACACACACATATATTTGAGCACACACACGCGTGTTCATCTGATAACAAACATGTGTTCCTGGAACACACACACACATGCGTACACCTGGAACACATATGTGTGTATGTCTGGAAAGCACATTTCTGTTCACCTGCAGCACACACATATGTGTTCACCTGGAACTCATATATGTGCTCACTTGGAACATGCATTTGTGTTCACACGCAACACTGGTGCAGACCTGGATCACACAAACTTGTTTAACAACAATCTTCTGTGTTGACTTGCAACACACATATGTGTTCACATGGAACACACGTATGTGCACATGTGGAGAAACATGTGCAACACAAATGTGCAACACACATGCGTTCACATGGAATTTACAAGTTCCCGAAGCCGGCTGTGAGGTGCTATTCCACGGGGCTCTGCCTTGAACAACGCTTGTGTTCCACGTAGGCAAATAGCTTTTTTGCAACACGCTGCTAGCGCGCAAGCCTGCTGCTGCTGCTACTACTGCTAGTACTATCAGTATCGGATGTGTCTCCAGCATTTACAGGCTTCAGCTTAGCAAAAGCTTTCCGGCGCATTGCGCTTCTTTCTCGCTTAGCTGCGCAGTGTCTTTCGTATCGAGCAATCTGTTGCTCGATAGAACGCTCTAAAGTAGTGTTACAACTCTTCGTATCGACTCAGCGCCTTGCTAGCGCGCGGCTAGCTGACTGAGCCAGACCATCTCGTGACAGCATCCAGCCCAGCAAGCGTGTGAGGAAACAGGTTGGAAGGAAACCAATGGGGAGACGGGGAGACAAAGAGCAGACCGAGCCAGACCATCTCGTGACAGCGTCCAGCCCAGCAAGCACGTGCGGAAACAAGTGGGGAGACAAATGCGAACAAGTGGGGGGAGACAAAGCGCTGACCAAGCCAGACCATCTCGTGACAGCATCCAGCCCAGCAAGCAAGTGAGAAAACAAGCGGGGAGACAAAAGAGCTGACCGAGCCAGACCATCTCGTGACAGCATCCAGCCCAGCAAGCGAGTGCAAAAACAAGTGGGGAGACAAAAGGAAACAAGTGGGGAGACAAAGAGATGAGGAGCCAGACCATCTCGTGACCGCATCCAGCCCAGCAAGCAAGTGCGAAAACAAGTGGGGAGACAAAAGGAAACAAGTGGGGAGACAAAGAGCTGACCGAGCCAGACCATCTTGTGACAGCATCCAGCCCAGCAAGCGAGTGAAAAAACAAGTGGGGAGACAATTAGCTGACCTAGCCAGACCATCTCGTGACAGCACCCAGCCCAGCAAGTGAGCGAGAAAAGAAGTGGGGAGACAAAAGGAAACAAGTGAGGAGACAAAGAGCTGACCGAGCCAGACCATCTCGTGACAGCGTCCAGCCCAGCAAGCGCGTGAGGAAAAAAGGGGGGGCCGCATCCAGAGCAAGCGCGTCAGGAAACAAGTGGGGAGACAAATGCAAACAAGTGGGGGCATCAAGGGCTGACCGAGCCAGACCATCTCGTGACAGCATCCAGGCCAGCAAGCGCGTGAGGAAACAAGTGGGGAGACAAATGGAAACAAGTGGAAACAAAGAGCAGACCGAGCCAGACCATCTCGTGACAGCATCCAGACCAGCAAGCGTGTGAGAAAACAGGTGGGGAGACAAAAGGAAACAAGTGGGGAGACAAACAGCTGACCGAGGAAACAAGCCGGGAGACAAGGCTAGGCCATCTTGTGACAGCATCAATTCTTAGTAAGAATTAAGAACCCCAACAGTAAACTGTTTGGGGAACAAATGGAAACAATTGGGGAGACAAAGAGCTGACCGAGCCAGACCATCGCAAGCACGTGAGGAAACAGGTGGGGAGACACAAGGAAACAAGTGGGGAGACAAAGAGCTGACCGAGGAAACAAGCCGGGAGACAAGGCCAGGCCATCTCGTGACAGCATCAATTCCTAGTAATTAGTAAGAATTAAGAACCCCAACAGTAAACTGTTTGGGGAACAAGAGGTTTGACAAGCCAGGTTCTTTGAGATCCCTTTGGCATCACAGGAAACTCATTAAGCGCAATCTCCCCGACCCTGCAGGCGACAACTCCCCACCAGGCAAAAAGTCCCGACCGCGGCGCAAACAAAGAGGAACGCCAGCGCTTCTTTTCGACATCAAACCATGGTTTTGATGCCAAAGACGAAAAAAAAAAAAAAAACACGCGTGTTTTGATGCCAACGCAACATGTTTTTCCTTTTTTTTTAACGGACTGGACGGTCCAGGTATCTCTAGATGAGAGAGTTTTTCTCCCTCTTTCTCATATGGCCATGGGTCAAAATCCCGTACCTAGTGAACATCCCAGTCCCGACTAGAATAGGTTCTAAAATGGGTGGTGCACCTACCCCAAGATGGGATCCCATTGGTTTTGACAACCACAGCCATATTCGGATCAAAGCAAATGGAAGCTCAGGTTGTCGCCAGGGAGCTCGCAAAACTCCGATGATCTCCCAGTGAAGGCTGTCCGTCCTGCGCGGATCGCGAAACGGTTCCGAGCACGGATCGAACATGGAGATCATCCAAGGTCCTATGAACTTGGCCAGGTTTCAAGATTGTCATAGAGCATTGGGTGAAAGTAGATGGCACATGCATGTTTCCTGATATTTCGATCATCCCGTTTACTGACTTAAAAGGGAATTGTGCTATCTTGCTCTTTCCTTTTCTTTCTGAGGGGGAGGGGGCCGCAAGGAATGCTTATCTGACAGGGACCCATTGTGCAAAGTCTATGTGAGTTTGCCAGACTACCAAGGATGCCTTGTTGCCGACCGCCTCTTCTTGTGTGTGTGTGCTTCCGTTGAGAAAATGAGGCGACTTGGTTTGTTTGGGGACCCTGTGGTGGGCCCTGCACAACACCTGAGATTTATTATGTCCAATCATGTTCAAGGGTGACAACTCCGAACATTCGCCACTCAACCTCAAATCTTCTTGCGGCCACTTGTCTTGCTTGCAAGCAGGTCGCGGCGCTCAGACAAACCCAAGACTTCTTGCTTACCAAGCCTAGGTCCTCCAGTAGAAAGGCTAGAATAAGGGTACTCTTTTTCGGTAGTCTACTTTAGTAGGGGAACCCTCCCCCAAAAAGAAACGGTAAAAGGGCACCTAGCTGGGGACCTAGAAGCAGACAGGTAAGCCGGCCACTCACGCGGTTTTCGGGGGGGTCTCTCCTAAAGGCCCGAAGCGGCAGAGCAATACACTCCGCCGCTACGACTGCCATGGCCACGGTGAACCAGACACATCGCCAGCTCTGGGAAATGGCTTTGCACCAGCCCTAGGCGAGGTGGCCGAACATTTTGGTTGGGTTGGGGCTTCAGATTCTGCCCCTTTGCATCAAGTGCATTTGGTCCATTTACAGTAGAACCCAGCCCATCCATTCGTATCTCGATGTCCCTCCATGGATAGGTTGGAAAGGTTGCCCGAACGTCACATGGGTGTAAACATGAAAGGCCAACAGAAAGATTGGCTTCTGCCAACAAGGTTTCTTTGGTTCTCAACAAATATGCTTCATCTTGGTCCCCACGGGACACTTAAGCATCATCTAAGGGAGGGGCATGGTTTCCCTTTTGGCTTCGCTTTGAGCATGTCCAACAAGGCTGTACCCTGCTTCAACTTGGACAGAAGATCCCATCCCGGTAAGTTTGCTCAATGGACGTGCAACTTGGAGCTGAGGGCGGGGAGGACGAACATGGAGGTACTGCTGCAGTGAAAGCTGGCAAACTCTTGAGGACACCCCCAACCTTTCTGCTCGGCCTTTGAAGAAAGTAATACACAAGCAACCGGGAGAAGGGGCCAAAGACTGGAAAGCGGCTTGCTTCGGATGCTTGGCCGGAGCAAGCAGTTTCCTTTTGCGACTCAGGCTGATGGTTCGGGCATCAGGATGAACGAATCAGCACAGGGCCGATTCCTTTTCTGGTCGCATAGGGCGGGGAAGCATCGCAACGATATCTTCGAAACGACCTCCAAACTCTGTCCGGACCCAATCTCCCGTCCAGTCGCTTCCCTAAATCAAAGGTCGATCCACTGGTGGTGTCCATGGAAACCATCGCTTTCCAAAAATTGGTCCGCGGCTCGGAGACCCGGTTTGACAGCGAAAAGGAAACAAAACCAACGGTCTTTTCCAAAAACAAACAAAGGGAGGTCTGGCTTCCAGGCTGGTGACGGAAAACCCTCTTCATTGAACTCTGAGCTAGGTTTGTTTTTAGTTTGAGAACCTGCCGCATTGGTTTCATGGTTTCTCTTTGCATTCAACCAAAAGGCTGCGAGATGTTGCGAGCCCCCCCCCCCCCCGAAAAAAAAAAAAAAATCAAAATCAACCACAACAACAACAACCACAACAACAACAACAACAACAACAACAACAACAACAACAACAACAACAACAACAACAACAACAACAACAACAACAACAACAGCAACAGCAACAGCAACAACAACAACAACAACAACAACAACAACAACAACAACAACAACAAAACAACAACAACAACAACAACAACAACAACAACAACAACAACAACAACAACAACAACAACAACAACAACAACAACAACAACAACAACAACAACAACAACAACAACAACAACAACAACAACAACAACAACAACAACAACAACAACAACAACAACAACAACAACAACAACAACAACAACAACAACAACAACAACAACAACAACAGCAACAACAACAACAACAACAACAACAACAACAACAACAACAACAACAACAACAACAACAACAACAACAACAACAACAACAACAACAACAACAACAACAACAGCAACAACAACAACAACAACAACAACAACAACAACAACAACAACAACAACAACAACAACAACAACAACAACAACAACAACAACAACAACAACAACAACAACAACAACAACAACAACAACAACAACAGACAAAAAACACAAAAAGAAACGCCAAGAAACCCAGTCGCATCAAAACGGTGGGCATTCGAGGCCCCGTGGTTTCAAGCAGTCGAGGCCTGAAAAAAAGACGAGCGTCAAATTCCTCCCAGGCCCGCTTCCCCTTCCAAGCCAGCGGGGTCAGTGAGTTTCGCCGGCTGATCCGCGGGGCCGCGGAGGCATCACCTGGTCAAGCGCCATGAGTCTTTTGAGGGAATCCTTTTTTGGGCATAGGCATTTGGGGAAAAGAACATAAACAACATAGCCCTGGTAAATGGAATAACACCTATCTAAGCCAGCGCTATCTATTGGGCTGCCTCTAAAGGAACTTGGGGGCAACCACTGGTTTGGGGGGGCCCCTATTGACAACTGTGTGTGTATGTTTCCATAAAGGCACCTTGTAAGGTTGGTTCAAAAGGAGAACCAAAGGAACACCACGTGCCATAGTCGCTGATTGCATTTTTGTTGGACTTCCGGATGTTTCTTGACTCACCCTCTCGCTAGTTTCCCGCTCTCTCCAGTCCAGGACCTCCAAAGAGGAATCCTCCCAAGCCGTTGCTCAGTTGGCGCAAACGCAAGTCACTGACGTGGAAGGTGGCAAATGACCCAGAAACACCTCCCCCCCCGTACAGGAGTACTCAGAAAGCGGGTTGGAAACCAGAGATCCAAGACCAGTACTGGGCTGCCCTCAGATCCCCCGCTAAAAGTAACTTTTAGTGGGTTGAATGGAAACTACCGCTAAACACTAAAAGGTTAAAAGGCTAAGGAACCGGATGGCAGGGAGCCACCAAGAGTAGTATCGCCGTTCCTTCTTAGGATCCGCCTAAGGACCGGTTCCTTCCCCCATTCCGGGTGGGCATTCCTCGCCGACTTTCGTCTGTTGAAACGAGCTGAGGGCTCGTTGTCCTTTTGAAGGTTTGCTAAACCGAAAACATTAAAACAAAAAAACAAAAACATATGAGGAGTTGTCAAAAAATATGCACCCTTTCGGGACCTGGTGCGCCTTGTGCTGCCTTTTAAAAGGGATACCCAAAAAGGGCCCCTACTTTTGACAAACCTTCATATCCCAAAGTCTCAAATCTGGGCAATTACAATGCATCAACCTGAAATAAGGGTCCCCCAAGGATCTTTCGTAAGTGAGCCCCCCCAGCTTTGTGATGTCGCAATCGAAGCACCGTGATAAGCTACCGAGTCTAATTCATGCAGAGTACGAGTTACTCTCCTGGTAAAACTCAACGAGGAAAAGTCGCACCTTCCATTTTTCACCGATCTGAGAGCAGTCCGACTGTTCCTTGGCAATCAAAACCCGGTCTGCCCGAAACCATGCAAAGGAAACAGATATCTACTTCTACTTCTGCTTGGGACTGCCTGCTACTTGCCGTCATTGGCCGGGTTCGATAGCGGCTCAATTATTAATGAACTTAGACTATGCAAAATGGAGTGGGCGGATCCGTCGCTCATTGGGCATACGAGTACAAAGAGGAGCTTGGTTCCTTTCGTAATTCAAGAGAATCATCTTGCAGATTCCAGAAGGCTCATTGGGCAATTCTTGAAGGACGGTACCATTGATTGACTTGTCTTAACGCAAACAGCAACTAGCCTACATGTGCTTTGTTTGGGGAGAGGGTCCTTCAATACATGAACAAACTCGCCTGGACGTAGGATGCGGATTGCAACTTCACAGGGAAAGGGCACTCCCTGTTTCTATTACATGTTTTGTGGTTGAAAGGGGAAAGCCAAACAAAACCCTTTGGTTGAGACTAGCAGTTTCTACCTCCAAAAGTGTACCACGAGCAACTGACGAGATGGGGTCGGCCCTGGAAAAACCAACCGCCTCTTTTGCAACTTCCTTTTGTCCTTCTTTTTATCAGAGCCCAGATAACATAGGAGTGGCCAAAGGCGACGTTTAAAGCCACCTCGGAAGCATGGAATCTTAAGCCAAACATCTTCCTTGGAGCCTTTACCTTGTGAATTGCCTCCCCAAACTCCAGGACACTTGGGGTACCATTTAACAGACAAAGCCCGAAGTCCCTCTGGTTCGATTTGGAATCACCGATTGCGCGTGGGAAGTGAATCGTTTGGGATCCCCGAAAAAAGGAACCAGGTGGATAAAGTTCAGCTCGTTCTTGGAAACTCAGGAGCATTCCAGACCTCTCTACTTGGCCATCTGAATGTGTCTCCCCAAATCCTGACAGACTTGTACCATTTGACAGCTCCGACCCAGAAATAAAAGGTCTTAACCTGTTGGATGCATTAAAAAACAACAACACGCATGCAACACAAAACAAAACCAACCATGCATGCATTAAACAACATGCATGCATTAAAAACAACATGCATGCATTAGAAACAAAAAAGAAGCCAATGCTCAGAAATCAACCGGTGGATTCGCTTACTGAGATCAACGGGTCCCACGTTGCGATCCGAGGCGACTTGCGATTTTTTGCCCCAGGAGCAGATCTTCCAACCGCTCAGCACCTCGAAGCCGCTCTCTGACTCACTCCTGAGACGATTTTCTTTCGGGTTCGCTTTGGTCCGGGAAATGAGAGAATTGGAATGAAACCAAATCCGGGGGGGGGGGGGAATCTTTTTCAAGCCCATGTTGGTTTTTCCTCCTTCTTTTTTTTTGGGGGGGGGGAAACAAGAATCCCCGAAAGGGTTCATTCCCAAACCTTGGGCCATTCACACCAGCAAGTCATCCAACCGGGGAACCGGGTGCCACACATTAGGTGAAATGTCGTTTGGACCCTAGGGCTATGACACAAAAGAAGAAAAACAACAACAAAAAAACATAGGCGGCTCAGGGCAAAGGGTGCCACTGAACAAGGTTTCTTGGCAAAACAATGTTAAGTATCCTGCCTATAACCCCATTCGAACTATCTAGGCACTCACCAACAAGCTAGTTGAAGCGGGCAGCGTTGTGGACAACTAGCATCCACCTGTACAGGCCCCTTGCTCACTATGATTCTTGGAAAGAGGCGGTATTTTCTTGTTTGGTGTCTTTACTATTTGACTACTGGGAAACTGGGTGCGTGCAGCAACGATTGCCAAACTCAATGCACATATTCGAACTATATTGGTTCTCTCCCGAAATGCGGGAACCTCGATAATTTTGGGTGGTTACCCATTTGGTTCACTTTTCAACCACCTCCTACAAAAAGGCGTGCCCACGAAAAGCACGCACACACACAATGGATCATGGAGTATGAAAGAGGCAACGCGGACAGAAACTTGGTCTGCAGGTCTAAAGCTTCATTTATGTGATATATACATATACATATATATATATATATATCTACACACATGATTGTCTTGAAATTAGGGACTCCCCCCCCCCAAAAAAAAAAAAGAAAGAAAAGAAAGAAGTAACAAATACAAAGGTAACTGATTCCTGTTGGTTCTTCCTTCAACCAACTACAAAGTGGTTCCCACAAAACAAGTGTCACACCCGCAACAGCGGCCCTCCAAACTGAAAGAGATCCGCCTTGGGCGAGCTTTTCCTGGAAAGAAGCGAGCAAAACATATCGTTGCCCTGGACCACATGCTCAAGGGAACTCGTCACACACACAGAAATGTGGGCTGTTCCCAGATCCACTGCTAAAAGTCTAAAACTTTAGTGGTTTAGTGGAAACTACCACTAAACCCGAAAAATCTCAAAATCTAAGAGGACAATCAGGGGTTCAATCCTGGCTTTGCATGAAAAGGTCACAAGGGTCTTCTAAAACTGGCTGGTGCTCAGTAGGGAATGAGGGAATGAACCTGGGGAGTCCCTTGATTGTTTACCGGGCTCATTCCCTCATTCCCTGCTGTGAGCACCAGCACGAAAACTATGGAAAAGGAAAACACGAAAGGAGCCCTCTTGCACTGTCAACTGGGGCGTTAGGTGTTCAATCCTGGCTTCTTTAGATTCCCAATCCTGGCGAGCGTCGAAACCTTTTCCGACACATCATGATCCCAAGAGATCGAGACCCCACGATCGAAGATGTACTTGGGCGTCTTGTTGCTCGGAACATGCAGCAGCTCCGGCTCCTATCGGCGATGTTCCAGCTGGTTCCAAGGAAGCTGCCGGGATTTTTGTGAGACTCATTCCTCGACCAATGGAAATCGAGAGCGAGCCACCTGGGCGCACAGGATCTACAGCCCTGTTGCCAACTTGTTGGGTGCCTTATGGCATGCTGCGCATGCAGCAAGAAACATGTGAAGAAATTGGGGACAGCCTGCCCACAAGGGGAACACAAAAACGACAAAGACACTGCCGTGATGCCATCATGGATGCATGCGATATATCTTTTCTTCTCTCGGCTGTCCTGTTCCGGAAGAGCTGCTCTCACAGTCTCCGTGCAATCCTTGCAGCGCACTTCGCGAAGCTCGGACCCAGAAAGCCGGACGCTGAGAAAAGGATGGAAGCTTCGATGAATATGTACGCTGAATAGGCGCATCAACCCCATACTTGGGGATCATAGGTTTTTTCGACTTTTTGGGTTCGAGTTTGGTCCCTTTGGGCACTTGCTCAAAAAGCTTATAACCCATTGCGTACGAAACAAAGGCCGAACTCACGCGGGGAGACAACACGTGTACAGTTCGGTGCTGTGACAATCTCCCGTTTGTTCATTGAGCATGCATTCGAACCACAGGGCAAAACAAATTTTGATTGATCTCTGTCATTTCATGCCATTACTCAAACATATTCAGTTTATACTTCTAGAAGCCTAGATTTGGGCTTCAATCTGCATATGGGATGCATCACTTTCTCTGATTGCACCCCCTTTCTCTCGGCCATTGAATCTGACCAACGCCCGCGAATCATATATGATTTCGCGTTATGTCAACATGTGGGGGTTGATTTTTATTCTGGTGCCACTGCTACCAGCAGAATCCCATTCGCTCGCCCTTGCGCCTGCCTTCGCGGCTTGGCGAGCGGATATGTTTCTATGTGTCTGCGCTACTGCTGCTACTCGACCTCTGAAAGGCTCAGCCTATTTGATTTCTTGCTTGGGACAGGCTTCTGAAGGATGCCCCCAAACTCGTTTCCCCGCCGATGAGACTGATCTTGGGGGGATTCTCACGAAACTCCCTCGCGAAAGGGGGGGGACGGTTGCGAAAGCGACAAATGCTGAACAGTGCTTGGCCCAATAACCAAGAAGCTGCGACAGGTCAGTGCTTGCAAAGCTGCCAAAACCAACAGCTCCACAAGTTACTCTGGCAAGGCCTTCTAGGCACAGCAAGTGGGCACTGCGCACAAGGATCCGAATAGCACGATTAAAATGCTTTGAACTGGTCTGAAAATCGTTTTGCATAAGCCCGAAATAACATTTGGCGCCATTCGGGGCCATGAACACCCGTAAGCCTTACGCTTGCCCTTACGCCCTCTTTCGCGACCACAGTGTGGCAACCCTTTTTATCCTCACTAGGCCTCCTGTAGCCTAGCTCCTCCGGTTTGGATCTCCGTGAGTCAAAATGCGGCACCAACTGGCTGGGACGATCCCTGACGCAAGTTTGGCCGGCAGACCAGCACACCACACCGCGGAACTCCCGTCATGCGCCTTCATACGTGAGCGATAGGCAATGTCGCTTAATGGTAGGATCTAGGTCAAACCTCCCAGTTGCAAGATACGAACATGAGAAGCGCTCAATGGGATCTCCCATGTTTTTGGTGGCCACGCTTTGCATGAAGGGAAACCTAAATGAGGGGTGATGGCCCTCCATGGAATTAAAATTATTAGGGGCCATGTTTCCAAGTCGAAAGCCAGCCTTGCCAATCGAAAAAGCACACGCGATAATTGTGAAAGTGGGGGCTCAAAATAAAGCGGCCTGGCAAAACCCCTCGCCCAGGCCACGCAAGGTTGCCCCAAACACACTTGCATAACCACGCCCTGAAGCAACCCAAAAGCTACTGCTAAAAGTGGATTGCCCTTTTCCGAGCTTAGATGAACCCCAAACAAACCCAAGACCCGCCCTCATTAAGACCTCAGCAAGCCCAACACTAACCCCAAACCAGCCCTGAGCAACTCTGAACTGCCAATCAACGCCAATAGGCAGCCCTAGTCGCCGGTGATGCTGCGCACGCGGCCGCCTAGCCGACCGACCAACCAATGAACCAACCAGCCCCCTAGCCGGGGTTAAGCCCCGAGCCGAAAAAAGCACCGAACCCCACGCAGCATGCGCCTAAACAAATCCCACACTCCATGAATACCAGAAACCTCACGCTGCCACGCTCTATTTGTCGGGGCTTCATCCTAGATTGCCGGCTGAAGCGTCAGTCACCGGTGCGCGAACTGGGCTTTCATCGCGCTTCCGCTCGCCAGGCGCAGAAGTCGAAACCCTCCTGACGCGAGGGCGTCTGATTTTTCGCGTCTCATGATCGGTCGGACAGAGGATTCCTATATGATGGTACATGATTTCAGTCAAACCCAGTCGTCACTTTGAATTGGCATGATGCTTAAAATGACCGACACGGGATGTACAGGGGCTCGGTGCTTACATTGGGGGTGCTCACCAAGCCTTTGTGAAAAAAAACAGGAGCATGGTCGTCCTTTAGCCATTTGCGCGGAGTTTCTTAACCCCAAACATCTATGCAGCGGACCCCTCAGGACTCCGATACCCGAATTCCGAAAAGAAGAAGTACAACCTAATCATGAAGAAACCTTGGCAACGTTCAAGAGGATGGTGTCCAATTGTCAGGTTTTGTCAAGAGAATGCTTTGCAGGCTTCTGTCACAAATCCGTGTCACCTGACACTAATGAGATGGGCGAGTATTGGGCGCATGCTTGCGACTGTGCAAGAATATGAACGTGAGTGGAACTGGCACAGCCTTGCTCTGTCTTCACGCATGTCCGGGAACTCGCTTTCATTCAAGCAGGCATCTCGTCATATTTATATTTATGTATATGGGTGTGGGTCAATATTCTGGCGTGGAACGTTCCGCGGTGACGAACGAGTCAGTTACGTAAGGCTGGTTGTTCCGGACCTCTGGGAAGACATGTGTGGAGTCCTCAAGCACACGTGAGCGAGAGGCAAACTTCGCTATATCGTTCTGCAATGTTTCAGACACTGGTGTGTTTATGTCAAGGAAGGGTGGAAGGGGGAAAGAGAAAGAATGGAGGAAGAGAGCAGAGGAAGAGAAACTGGGAGGAAGAGAAAGCAGGAGGAGAAAGGACGAAGGGAAGAAGGATGGGGAGGAAGGGATAAAGGAATCCAGGGAGTAAGGGAGCAAGGAAGGATGGGGCAAGGGAAAAAGGAGGGTGGAAGGGAAGGGAGGAAGAGGAAGGGAGGAAGAGGAAGGGAGGAAGAGGAAGGGAGGAAGAGGAAGGGAGGAAGAGGAAGGGAGGCAGGGCAGAAGAGGAAGGGAGGCAGGGCAGAAGAAGAAGGAAGGGAGCAAGGGAAGAAGGCAGGAAGGCAGGAAGGCAGGAAGGCAGGAAGGCAGGAAGGCCAGGAAGGCAGGAAGGCAGGAAGGCAGGAAGGCAGGAAGGCAGGAAGGCAGGAAGGGTGTAGATGCTGCGCCTCCCCACAAGCTCCATGACATGCTTTTTGACGCTGGTTCCAGACCGCCCACAAGCATGGGAGGTGGAGCAGGGCCCGCACGCTGACCACCGCTGATTGATGGGCAAGCGGTGGCCCGCCTTTTGTGCTTTCCGGGTGTCGTTGAGGTATCGCTCAGAGTATCGTTCAGACAGCCCTCCAAAACCAGAAAATTTTGCCCATATTCTCTCAGTCCAGGGCATGTGCCAAAACGTGCGTGCGCCTCGCAGCCCGGACTGCTGTCCGGTGACTTGGTAGTTGCAAGCGAGACTTATAAGCAACTTGAAGCACAGCAGCACCATGCGAGCACGAGGGGTGTGGTTTCGGTGTCGTTTTTGGTATCGTTTTGAGCAAGCAGTACTTCGGTGGCAAAAAATGCAGTTCACACTCCCCGAATGATCCGAAAAGGTGTTTTCGACGCTCCAAAATTACTTTTGGGTATGGTTTGGCGTGCCAACTGTGGCGCCTGCGGGTGCAAGCAAGAAGCATGAGCAGTACAATCGGTGGCCCAGAATGCAGTTCACACCCCCCGAATGATCCGAAAAGGTGTTTTCGACGCTCTAAAATTACTTTTGGGTATGGTTTGGCGTGCCGACTGTGGCGCCTGCGGGTGCAAGCAAGAAGCATGAGCAGTAGGAAGGAGAGCAATCGGTGGCCCAGAATGCAGTTCACCCCCCCCGAATGATCCGAAAAGGTGTTTTCGACGCTCTAAAAATACTTTTGGGTATGGTTTGGCATGCCGACCATGGCGCCTGCGGGCGCAAGCAAGAAGCGTGAGCAGTAGGAAGGAGAGCAAGCAGTACTTTGGTGGCCCAGAATGCAGTTCACACTCCGCGAATGATCGGAAAAGGTGTCTTCGACGCTCCAAAATGACTTTTGGGTATGGTTTGGCGTGCCGACTGTGGCGCCTGCGAGTGCAAGCAAGAAGCATGAGCAGTAGGAAGGAGAGCAATCGGTGGCCCAGAATGCAGTTCACACTCCCCGAGTGATCCGAAAAGGTGTTTTCGACGCTCCAAAATTACTTTTGGGTATGGTTTGGCATGCCGACTGTGGCGCCTGCGGGTGCAAGCAAGAAGCATGAGCAGTAGGAAGGAGAGCAATCGGTGGCCCAGAATGCAGTTCACACCCCGCGAATGATCCGAAAAGGTGTTTTCGACGCTCCAAAATTACTTTTGGGTATGGTTTGGCCCTTCCAGCAACCTCCAAATAGCAAGCCGGGGAACGCAGTTTTGAGCAACAAGCCGGGGAGTGTAGCTTTGGTCAAAAGCACCCAATAGGCGCATCTTGAGTGTCCAGTGGCTTGTGGGTATGGTTTGGCTGGCTTGTGGGTATGGTTTTGCCCTTCCGGCAACCACAAAAACAAGGCGTGCAGTTCCGGAACCCAAAGACCAACCCCGCCTTGATAAAGTGATCGACGCATATTTTGACCGTGACTCATGAGCCAGCGTCAATATTTGCTGTGTGGGCTGTATTCATTCTACTTTAAACGAGTCCCCTATGGTTCTCCGCGTTTCGCGCTGGGTGCAGTGCCCGAAGAACCCTCTGCTCGGGTCTCGCGAGCGCGCAAAGCGCCCAATGAACCCTCTGCGAGGATTGCGCGTGTCAAAGCGCCCTCCTTGCGACGCCGTGCGGATTTGGAAAGTGCCCGGCGAACCCCCTGCAGTGAGCAATTTCTGCGGCAGCACTCTTGGAGCTCGGGCTCTTCTCCAAAGCCTTCCGGATCACAGATCCAAGCGCAAGCCCGCCAAGGCGTCCGCGGCCTGGCCCGTTGCGGGCCCTTTGTGTGCGCGGAAGGATGTGCGCTGAAGGAGCTGCGCGTGTGGTTGAAAAAGCAAACGCACTAGGTAGGCCTCACATTGGCTGCTCCGGGACGTTCTCGGAGTATCGATGGGGTGTCGTTTTGGGTATCGTTCTGGGCGCGTGTAGTGTCACGAAAAAAACAAACTTGCTATAAGCTAGAGCCAAGCAAGCGCACAAGAGCCTTCTCTACCTTGCGGTAGTCATGTGATCAGCGGACTAGACATTGGCGGCTTTGCTTGCTGGCTGCAACTTCCAGGTCGCAAGTCGCAACTTTCAGTACCAGCGCAGTACGCAAGTTACACTTTGGCAGCTCCAGCTCGAAGGTCGCAGCGTGCGCCGGTGCCTGCGGGCGCCTGTGCGTGTGCGTGTGCGCGGGTGCGTTAGCGATCCATCTGGGTGGGCCCATCTCGTGCACACATGTGCCCACCATGCATTGCCGAGGAGCATTGACAGGAGCTGTCATGGCAACTTACAGCTTGGGGCAAAAAAAGGCTCACACAGTGCAAAATAGAAGCGCGAAGCGCCAGTTGCACGTCATGCGACGTTATCGTTTTTGGGGCTTCGCTATATCGTTCCTGAGGAAAAATACCAAAACAAGCAACGCGAAATCGCCGAAGACATATTTTATGACGAGAGAGTTTAGCCTTTTGCTCGTTCATTTAGTGTAAGATGGATAGATGGATGGATGAATGAATGAATGGGTAGATGGATGGATGAAGCGATCAGGGGCGCGCGGCCGTACGATACGGCACCTCCTTGAAGGCTTCTTCGGCGGCATGGCGGGCCGCGTAAGAAGCGTAGCTACTGTGCATGTGGACTTGGTGGCAAACTGCTCCGCTGTGTCTGGAACACGTCTGGAACGGGTCTGGAACGGGGTCTGGAACGGTTCCGCGAGTGGCTTGCACTTGGTAGCAAGCTGCATGTAAACATGGTCGTTTCAACAATGTGACGACCGAGAGCGGTATCGAACCGTTACCGTATCGTATCGAACAGATTGCGGCGGGGTTGACCCTAACATTCACAGGCCGTTCCAAAAACACATCTGTCAACAGGACCGCTGCTTAATTCCATCCAAGTCCCAATGATTACAAGCCACGCAGCCCCAACCACCAAAGCTCGACAAGCAAACCACATCGTTAGCACCTCAGGCTTCTCTCGAACACCAGCCTTAACGCGTAGCATTTGGCAAAACAAAGGGGGGAGTCAATCACCTACCAAGTCACCTTACCGTAAATACTCTAAACTAGACATAAATATATAAACAAGGTCTGGAACGGAAGGTCTGGATCATGTTTCTAGGCAAGGTCTGGAACGGAGGTCTGGAACGGAGGTCTGGATCGCATGTGGGTTCCGGACCCTGTTCCGGACCTTATAAATTGACTCGCAGCCATATGGCCATGAGTCAAAATCCCGTACCCCCAGTGAACATCCCAATCCCCACCAAAATAGGTTTAAAAATGGGTGGTGAATTCACCTACCAACCAAAATGGTATCCCAAAACGGTTTTGACAACCACAGCCATATATGCGCATGTGTTTAAATATGTGCACCCCCAAAATGCGAAAATGGGTGGTGTCCCCATATATATATATACATATATATATATATATATATATATATATATATATGTGGCATGCACTATTTCCAAAAACATAAAGAGTTCCACTCCAATGCTGCAAGTCGTGAAGGTGCTCCAAGTCCAAATGGGGCATCCCCCCAAAATCGGTGATACTCCATTTGAGTCACAATCAAAACCCGGTGTTAGAACGGTCTACCCAAATCTGTGTAAGGAACTTCAACTACGGCCGCACCTGTTTCTGGCTGGGATCATCCCTACCCTGCATCTACCCAGGTTTTGATTGCTCATTTGGACACCGAGATTCCATTGCAACTCGAACCCCAAAATCGCAGCACTTGAAGTTGGGCAGGGCGCTATGAACTGACTTCCCAATCTGAAAGGCGTCAAGAAAACCCCTCCATAAAGGCGTTTTTGCCTGGCAAAAATGAAAGTATGTCCGGTAGCGATAGATTCCCTAAATACCAATCAAGGAAAACACACACAAATGAACATATGCCCAGTAGTGATAGTTTCCCTTTAACACCAACCGGGGAAAAAAATAACACACATAGTAGTAGTGATCGATTCCCTTTAACACCAACCGGGAAAAAAAAAACACCGAAAAAAAGGACAAACAAAATGCAAAAACAACCTATTCTTCACCAAATTTGCGCCAGAACACCGGCGGCTCGCCTCGTGGTTTAAAAAACCCACTCACCACTAAATCAAGCAGGGCCAAGGCGCGAGGGTTCTGCGCTTTCCTGGAGCCACGAGGCCGGACAATTTCCCCCGAACCATCCCCAGCCAACTACCTGGAAGCATCAGTTGCGATCGTTGTTTTTTTTTCCCCTTGCACTTTGCCCCTTTCTCAAAAGCCTGCAGTGACTGAAAAAAGCGATCGCAACTTGGCTATCTAGGTACTGCTTTTTTGTTTTCCCGTGGGGGACTTTTGGAGGTAAACAGCTGGGGGGGGGGGAGCTGGGGGGAGGAGCTGGCAGTTTCAGAAATCCAGATTCAGGTGTCCGAAAAGCCCTGATTCCCTGAGCACTATGTGGCAACCTTGAAACAAAAAGATCCAACATTTGCACCGGTGGAACCTGCACCTGCACTGGGTAAGTGAAGCCCTATCAGGAAGCTGGCGATGGGAGGACTCTCTTCATATTTGGCCATGGCTCAAAATCTCGTACCCCCAGCGAACATCCCAATCCCAACTAAAATAGACTAAAATGGAAAGCCCGAGCTTCCTGTCCTTCGTGGTTGATGGGGCTAACCGTCCAATGTTGACCTGATGTTCCCCTCCAGTGATGATTCCCCACGAAAAAGGGGACCCCCCCATTCATCAACCAGGGTTTCTTAATCTGGGGTTCCCATTGAGCTGGCAGAGCTTTGCCGTTCACCAGCTTTGCCATTCATCTGCAAACCTTGGAAACGCCGAACAGCGTGTTGATCTTACAAGTGGGAGTGGGCATGTGCCACTATCAACGGGGTTCTCAGCAGCATCGCCGGTTGACGCATACGAGCGCAAAAACAGGTCAAATTGGCGACAAGACTGGCTGTCCAATCGTGACCACGCTCGAAAGGCGGTCGACATCACCTTCACAGGACGGTGGGTGCCACACTCGGTGTTGCAAACCCAAGACCTCCCGCAGCCGTTGGCATCAACCCTCATAGGCTTCGGCTTGGGGATTCCGCAGCTTGTGCGCGTTGCTTTCCTGCTTTCCTCACGTCGCCTCGGTGATAAGTTGATTGGTGCGTGCAGCTGGTTTGCAGTTGGGTTGCAGAATGTTAGGTGTTTTTGGAACATCTTCTCTGTTCTTTGCAGACATCTTTGAATTGCCCGCACCGGCTGCATCACTAGCATCACCAACCAGCATCGGCACCACATCCCCCAGCACCTGGCCGCCCGCGCTCAGGTCTAGAAAGCTAGCGGGATTTTCGCTGCCCCGCCCTATTCAACCCCAATGTCTATCAACCTAAAGGTCGCTTTCCTTCTTTCTAGAAAGAGATCTCCAGTGAGGGACCATGGTGCGCTCGCTTGCCCAGTCAGCTCCCCATAGGCAAAAACAAGTGATGACATCAATATTACTCCAGTATTGCAATTATGCTATGTTTGGGCGTCCCTCATCGGAACCCTTCACAGCCCCTGGTAGAAATGTCAGAACTCGCAGCGTAAAGAAAAACATCTGTGAATCCGAGGGACGACTGTGGGAATGCTTTAACCCTTGACCCTTGAACCAACTGCTCCAATGGCTCTGGGATCATAGGCTTGCAATGACATTCAAAGCTACATCTCAGCTTACTGCTTGACAAAGATGTTTACCACCGCTGTGCCTAACATCTCCCATACACAATGCCTACCCGAAGCTTCCAATCCCGCCAGAACACCTACGATGAAGCTCTACGTGCGGCGGTTTTATCCTACGTCCAACAAATCACCCAATATATTTACATAATATATATATATATATACATATATTTACAGCTTTGCACATGACTCGCTCTCAAACTGCCTGCCTTCATTTGTCATCGTGTCTCTTCAGGCTTGGTTTCCGCGGCAAGCCAGTCCAAAGATGTTCCTTGCAGTGCCTCTGGCCAGCGTTGTCATCACGAGGTTTCCAGTC